CCCCAAAACCCCAAAACCCCAAAACCCCAATAAGTGATTTGACCGTATTTGTCATTTAATTAATTGGAATTTTTAAATAGTTTATAAGTTAAATGGAATCAATAACTAAAGGTATTCCTAAAATAGAATAGAACATATTTTTAATAGCTACTACAAGCTATATCATATTTAACACGCTGATTTAATTTTGGATAAATAAGTCAGTCGAGCATTGGGAGCATGATGAGTACTATCATATTTCACATGCAGTCTAGTTTTACAATGCAGACTACAGCTATAATAAATTTATCACAACTCCACCTGGTTTGTACTTACTTGGAAAGTTGTACTTACATATCGTAAGACCAATTAATTATGTACTAAACTTTGAAGTCGACGAAGATTATCATACCTATATTAGATATTTGAATGCTTCAGTCTTAGGAGGAATAAACTTTATTCTACTGTATAAAATAGTAGAAGCTAAATACTAAGAGAAAAATATCTATGCTATTTTTACATTCGTGCTAAGCGTCATTTTCATTCCTATATATTATCCAATGCATGTTGTCTTCTATACAGAAATAGGATCTATGAGTTACCTGCTATTGACTTACTATTTAGTCTTGGTAAGAAAGGTTAATCAAAGAAAGTTAGGGAAACTACTTTTGATTCTAGTTGGAATTTGCGCATTTGGCTAAAGATAGACTAATATCATTTGGATAAATTACATAGCAATTATCGGCTTCATAAATAATTATGAGATGTAGTTCAAATCAATTCTCTCTAATTTGGTAAAGATAATTTCAGAGAATCTTTGGCTTGCTGTAATTGATCTTATGTTTATTTACTTCTACATTTGGAATGGCAATTCAATTGTTATTGGTGACAGAGATAGTCATCCTTTGGTATTACATTATGCATAACTATTATATTCCTTATTATTTTTAATAGTGTGCATTCCAGTACCCTTTCATACTAAAGTGTTCCAGATTGTCGAAGATATATTTTAAATTATTAAGCTAAGGCGTCCATTCAAAACACTAGCATTTCTCATATTAAATGGAATTGCATACTTAATGGTGCTAAACGGTACATTCACGCATAAGTTTATCGAAAGCAACAGAGGCCATTACTCATTCGAGTTTAATAAGATTGTTATTAAAAATGAGTAAGTTTAATTTGCATTGGTTCCTCTTTACTCTATTTTGACAATATCACTTTATGAAATCTTGGCATAAACATAAGGGCCAAAGGCAAAGTACATATCAGCAATATTTTTAGTAGCATCTGCAATGACTTTGTTCCCTTGTCAACTATTTGAGTTGAGATACTTCTTACATCCAGTATTTTTGGTATCGCTAGAAATGTTTAACCCCCGTCGTACTAAGATGGAAGTTTGGCTTGGTGCTCTAGCTTATATGAATTTCTACCTGTTGCATGAATATCGCGATCATCCATTCTGGTTTCATCATGAACATCATTACTTCCTATGAATAAATGAATTTATCATATCTTGGAGGAAATAATTTTAGTTTTATAATTTAAGATTTCATTATTCACATTTACTTAAAAAGTCTAATTTCTTCATTATATCTACAAACATGGACTATGGGGTTTTGGGGTTTTGGGGTTTTGGGGAGATCGGAAGAGCAC